GGAGGCCAGCCGCCTCTGGACCCGGCCCGAGGACAGGCAGCCTGACAACAGTGTGGACGTGGAGGAGTACATGCAGGACCAGTACTGGCCCGAGGACCTGGGCCCGGGCTCCAGCGGGGGGCAGGGGGCGACGCAGGACAGGAGGGCGTGAGGGGGGAGAGGCGTGGGGTGGCCTCCAGTCAGGAGTGCCCAGGCGGGCACTGGGCATGTCACCTGGTCTGAGGAGTGGGGATCGTCTGTCCTGACTTCCGTTCCTGACTCGCAGCCCTCTTTCCAGGCTGTAGTCACCCCTCAGCCCCTGGTTTTGCTGATGGCACTTTATAGACGCCATGAATGTCAGGTGGACCAGCTACAGCCCCGTGGGAGCAGGGTCGGTGCCAAGGGACTGTCCCTGGCTGTCACTTCCCGCCCCCGGGAGGAGTGGGGTGCATGTCCGTGGGGCAGTGGTGAGGGAGCCCGCCCTCCTTCAGGCACTTTGGTTGGTAATCACCGTGGTGGCTGGGTTTTCCCCAAATTTCACCCCCCACCCGTTTCCTTGTTCACTAAGGGGCGATTTGGGGCACTGGGGTCGCTGAAAGCTCAGGTCATACAGACCTTTGAGCCCCTACGTTGCTTGTCCCTGTCACTTTGTAGCTTTGAGACCTTAGGCAGCTGTGTGGCTTCACTCTGGAGCCGGTCACATGGGGACAATGGTACGACCTACCTGAGGGTTATGAGGACAGAATGCCCACACGCAGCACGGTGCCCGGCACACGCAGCCCTGGTCCATGTGAGTGGCTGTTTTCCCCGAAGGATCAGTTTCAGCCTCTTCAGGGTGACGCCCCCAGTGGAAGGACTTTGGCCCGGCCCAGGGTTAACTGTCCTCGCTCGGCTGCTCCAGCAGGTGGGGCAGGACCCTACGTGGTGAGGGCATCACGTGGAGGTTCAGGGTTCTCGCCGCTCTCACGGCCGGGTGACCCGAGTGTCATCTGCGTCCCTCTGCTGTATGCGGAGGTGATGGTGGCTGCCCGTGTGGGTCTGAGCAGAGCCGCAGGGCCAGGAGGGAGACCCACAGCCACACTATGTGACCTGGGCTGCAGGGCAATCCGTCACCGTTTCCTTTCCGTCTGCAGTGCAGGGAATGGCTGAGTCATGGACACAACTGGCCCGGCTCCAGGGCTGTGTTCTGGATTCCTCAAAAGTCTAGACGCACAGCTGGGCAGTAACTTCTGTTCCTCTGCCTGTGGGTGGAGGGAGAGGAAGCTGTTACTGGTGTTCTAGAAATGGACTGGGTTCTGAGTCCGCATGGCTGCAGCACTGCTCTGGAATAAACCTCAATTGGAAAAGCGGGTGAAGTTGCCTTTTTGTGACTTAAATGGCGGGGAGGGGGAGGTGGCTTATGGAGGGATGGGGGTGGTGCTGGGACGCCCAGTCTTGCTGGGAGCTTTGGCCCTCACGGTGGGCAGCTTTCACGACGATGCTTGGGAGGTGGTGGTAAGAACATGAGAGCTATGGAATTTATACCGTATACATACGTGAAGCATTTTATAACTGCCCCATTAAAGAGCACAAGTTTTACTTATAAAA